AAAAGCTGAAAAAAGCTAGCAAACAGAAGTAGCTAAATCCTTGTTAAAGCTAAAGTAGCAACAAATTCCAACTGTGACGCTAGCAGAGCATCAAGTTAAACTTAGCAAAACACTAAAAGCTAAAGTAGAAATAAAATGCTAGCTAGACTCTAGAGTAGGGTGAATCTTTGGATGAAATTAGCAGAAGACTAGCTGAAAGTAGTGAAAGACTAAATGAGTATAAGAAGATAAATGAAGACTTTAAAGAGAAAATGTTTTTTAAGAGATTTTATTTTGGAAAACAGTTAAATATATGTTAAAGTATAAAAACTCCCAGGGAGCCAGCAGCAAAGGAGGCTCAAAGATCAAAGAGATCGGAGAGGTTGGAGATAGTTTTTGTTTTCTGTCTGGAAGTTGTTTTCCTGCAGCCGAGCAGGCCATTAAAAGCCTCCTCCCCGGTGCTCTGACACCTCCAGTTGTTTCCTTTCTCCCTGGAAGTGTGCTGAAAGGCCTCTCGGTGTGCCTGTAAGGATCAGCRAAGTCTGAATTTTAATTCTGAGTGGACAATATTTGTTTGTGCCTCTTCAAACATTGGAGGATTGTGCTCGCAGCTGCTCCCTGCATGTCAAGATAGGTTTGTGGGGGTAATCTGCAGGAGCTGGAAGCAACTTTTCGGTCTTTTTTCTTCCCCTGTAATAAGCAGCTTTTGTCTGCTCTGTGCTCTGGTAATTTAAAGACCACAGGCGCTCAGGTGCAGGTGGCAGGAGACATGCTGCCGGACTCCACGGAGAGGGCTGTCACAATCTCCGGCACGCCGCAGGCCATCACTCAGTGTGTGAGACACATCTGCTCCGTCATGCTGGAGGTGAGCGCCGTCACACAGCCGAAGAGATGCACATTCAGCTGCTCTGCAGCCACGTTCATTCAGGCTGGAGGAGCAGCGGATTTTAGCTGTTTTCAGACAGAGAGCAGCGATGAAACACTTTCTTATATATGAGGCTCCAAGTGTAAAATGAAATGTTAATAAATGTCACCAAGACATTTTCATTATTTAGCTCACTTCCTGAGTGTAAAATATTAGCTATAAAATATTCCACTAACATTTTTTATTTTACTGTTCTTATATTTTATTAATTTTTACTAAACGTTAAACTGAAATGTTAAAAACATTTAAATATTAAATACTAAATCTAAATATACAAATTAAAATGTAAAAGTTAAATCTTAAATGTTGCAGCTAAATGTTAAAGTTTACATTTAAGTATTTCAGAATGGAATGCAGCCTTTGCTGTTGATGCTCAGCTTTTGTTGTGACATCATCATCCTGCGACAAGCAACCACTAACTCTGCTAACTCTGCTGATGCTACTAATACTGCTAGCTGCTAATGAGACTAACAATGCTAACTCTGCTGACGCTGCTAAAGCTTCTGACTCTGCTAAAACTGCTAATGCTGCTAACTGTGCTAACGCTGCTGACTCTGCTAACACCGCTAATGCTGCTAACTCTGCTGACTTTGTTAACGCTGCTGACTCTGCTAACACCGCTAATGCTGCTAACTCTGCTAACGCTGTTAACTCTGCTAATGCTGCTGACTCTTCTCACACCGCTAACACTGCTAACTCTGCTGACTCTACTAACTTTGCTAATGTTGCTAACTCTGCTAATGCTGCTAACACTGCTAACTCTGCTGACTCTGTTAACGCTGCTGACTCTGCTAATGCTGCTGACTCTGCTTACACCGCTGACTCTGCTGACTCTGCTAACACCACTAATGCTACTAACTCTGCTGACTCTGTTAACGCTGCTGACTCTGCTAATGCTGCTGACTCTGCTTACACCGCTGACTCTGCTGACTCTGCTAACACCACTAATGCTACTAACTCTGCTGACTCTGTTAACGCTGCTGACTCTGCTAACACCGCTTATGCTGCTAACTCTGCTAACGCTGTTAACTCTGCTGACTCTACTAACTCTACTAACTCTGCTAATACTGCTAACTCTGCTAATGTTGCTAACTCTGCTAATGCTGCTAACACTTTCCTGCTACAAGACATCAAACAGTTACGGCCAGTTGTCTGAGCTGCACTTAAAACTGACGGACCACAGGTACCATCCATGTTGTTGACGTGAACTTTTCTTCTGGTTTGCACAATTCCAGTCTCCACCTAAAGGAGCAACTATTCCCTACCGACCCAAGATCCTCCCTGCTGGAGCTCACGCAGTTCTAGCACCACAGCACTCTGCGCAAGTAAGTCACCGCGCTAACGAGATGAAACAAGCCGATTAAAGAAGAAATAATGAAGCAGCTGAAACATGTTCGTTAGTCTTAGTTTAAATACGTTTGTGTTGCATGAGTTTTCTGCATCTTGTGGAGCTTTGAGATACAAATTTGAAGCAACGAGAGAAACTCAGGTTTAAATAAATCTAAAATATCTACACGTTGTAAAATTTGTTTGTCAGAAAAAGAAAAGTTTTTTGCAAAAGAACTGAAAACTTGAGAAAATTTTAAAGTGTCAGATGCTAAGTGGGGGAAAAAGCTAGCTAAAAGGTTAAAGTAGCCTAATTTAAAGTTAAAGTAGCAACAAAACCCTAGCTTGATGCTAGAAGAGTCAAGCTAAAATTAGCAAAAAACTATTTGAAGGATTGAAAGGCTAGCAAAATGCTAAGGTAGCAAACACCAGCTAAAATATCAAAACAATAGTTTAAAAAACAAAAAGTTGCAAATAGCGGCAAAGACATAAAAGTAGCAAAAACCTTGTTAAAGCTAAAGTAGCAACAAATTCCAAGCATGACGCTAGAAAAGCATCAAGCTAAACTTAGCAAAACACTAGCTGAAAGTAGTGAAGGGCTGCCTTTATACTAAAGTTATCAAAACAACTGCTAAAATCCAAAAGCAGCAAAATGCTAATTAAAAGTTTCAAAACTAAAGTAACAACAACTTTCATGTGTGATGCTAGCAGAGCATCAAGCTAAACTTAGCAAAACACTAAAAGCTACACTGAAAGCTAAAGTAGAAATAAAATGCTAGCTAGACTCTAGAGTAGGGTGAATCTTTGGATGAAATTAGCAGAAGACTAGCTGAAAGTAGTGAAAGGCTAAATGCTAATGGTAGCAAACATTAGCTAAAGTTATAAAAACTGCTAAAATTCAGAAATAGCAAAATACTAGTTAAAAGCTGCAAAAAGCTGGCAAACAGAAGTAACTGAATTCTTGTTAAAGCTAAAGTAACATGCTAGCAGAGCATCAAGCTAAACTTAGCACTAAAAGCTAAAGTAGAAATAAAATGCTAGCTAGACTCCAGAAGAGGGTGGATCTTTGGCTGAAATTAGCAGAAGACTAGCTGAAAGTAAAGCTACATGCTACATGAGCATAAGAAGAATGAAGATTTAAAGAGGAAATGTTTTTAAAGGAATTTTAACCCATGAATTGAATAAAGTTAAATATATTTTAAAGTATAAAAACTCCAAAAACCAAACATTAGATCCTGATTTTCCTGACTGAGCAGAACGTTCGGACGAACAGAAACACAGTCTGAAAACACGAGCGTCYCTGTAATGAACGAAGCCTGCAGCAGCTTTAATAACGTGGCAGATCTGTGAACACGGGCCCGCAGGCTGAAACCTGACAGATGCTGGATGTAACATCATGTCCTGGTTTTGGCCCGGTCCGCTCTGACCTCCCTGACTTCTGTTTGTTATTGGATTTTCAGCCAGAAAGAGGCAGAAAGCAGCGGCTGACATTTAGATGAAATTCCATCAGATCCATACACATTAAAGCTCTGGAAAAAGCAGAAAGAAATTGATTTTTGTTCCCCCCCCCTCGGTGCGACACGACGACGCCGTGTGTTATGTGACATGTCACAACATGTTTGTTAGAACTCACGCCCGCTCTCGTCTCTCCCTCCTGGCAGGCCTTTGCTCTTCCAGGGCAGTACGCTCTGGCCCATCAAGATGTAAGTATGTCCCCTCTGAGTGACTGACACCCATCCTGATCTGCTCCCGCCCACTTCCTGTGCCCCACTCTGCAGAGACGAAACTTCAGCCACCCCGACCCGATGACTAACACTAACCCACAGTAGCAGCATGTGTTGAGACAGACAGGAAGGATCTGTGATCAGCTGATGTGACTGTTTTTCTCTGATGATTCTGTGTAGAAGTGCATGCTCTAAGAGGAATCTGTTCACTGACACCGTCTGTATCCAGGATGTTTTGTAGCTGTCAGCTCCTCTGAAATAATCCTGATTGATTGTTTAGCTCTAACTTCCTTCCTACCCTGCAGTTGACCAAGCTTCACCAGTTGGCTATGCAGCATATCCCCTTCCCTTCCCTTGGGCAGAGCAACCCTACCTTTCCTGGTACGTACCCACGGCCCCCCGAGGACGTCCATCTGTCCCTCTGTCCTCTGTTTAAAACACACCATCAACACACCTGACGCCACCTCAGCTCGAACCGCTCAACAGGTTTTCAGGAGCGTGAAGTGCACGGGTTCTGTGGAAAAGAAGGAGGGACATTATATTTTTAGAAGCAGTGACATTAAATTTTCTGAATCAGAACCAAACAATAGGATCTCGCCAAGCGTCACTCAGTAATTAAGTCTGATGGAAAATTTACATCTGAGGAAAATGTCAAATACGACGCAAAATTAACGACAGCAGAAAGGTTTAAAAACAGCTGTAAAATGTGGAAAATTTGATTTAATTAAAGAAAAATCAGATTTTAGCTGTTTTCAGTGTGAGGAGTAATAAAAAACACCAAGTCTCCAAATAAAATGTTAATAAATTAGCAAAATCCTAGCTAAAATTTAAACTAATATGCAGCCAACTATTCTTATATTTAGCAAATTTTCACTAAATATTACATTTAAATAAAAAAGAAAATGCATAAGTCTAAATGTAAACGTTAAATCTTAAATGTTTAAATTTAAGTAYTTCAGAGTGTAACGAAGCCTTTGCTGTTGATGCTCAGCTTTTGTTGTGACGTCATCATCTAGCAACAAAAATAAATGCTAATGCTGCTAACGTTGCTAATGCCGCTAACATTGCTAACCTTCCCTACATCCTCCTTGCAGTTATGGCCGGTGTCCGAGCTGCGCTTCAAATTGCCAGACCACARGCACCATCTGTATAGTTTTTCGAATTTAAATTTTAAATGCCAACTTCAGCAGAGCAAGCAGCGTTAGCAACATTCGCAGCATTAGCAGTTGTTTTTGTCGCAGGATGATGATGTCACAACAAAAGATGGACACCAACAGCACCTGCAGTTCCTCAGACTGAAGAAATCTGTCAACGTTTCAAAATGTTTCAACGAAGAACCCGTCCCAAAGCACCTACTCAACATTTTTTAGATAAAATTTGAACTTTTACATCACCAGAAATTTTGAAATTTACATTTTCTTTCTGCATTACAGTTATTCCAGCTGAAATGTTCTGAAATTTAAGCCTGAAACACCACAAGTGCTACAGCTAGCTGCTGCTGCTACCTGCGGTTGCAGACAACCAGACAATTCTGGTTAAAAAATAAATGGTAGCAGTGGTAAACTTTATTTTTCACTGCATTCAGACTTGTTAGTTGCGTGTAAATGAAACCATTTTAGTCAAAGAGTTATCTGTGACAGGTAAGATATTACTTACATCTTTTCCACAGAACTACACTTCAAAATGTACAAATTATCCGTCTAATTGATTACAGATATGCACGCTTTTTACCAGCATTAAAAACAAATTTAAAACATAAATGACAAAATCAAGAATATTTTTGAGAAAAACAAATAAAATCATGGCACCAGCTCGATCTGAGAGGAAAATGAGCAGAAATGTTTTGTCAATTTTTGTTTGTTTCCTCCCAGATTTCAGCTCCATCTGCCCGGTGCTCCCCTCCAAACAAAACAAATCCTAATCTCTGGACCCTGTCCTTCACCTCTGCAACATTTCTCCTCCAAATCCAACATGGTCTCTCGCCAAAACGTCCCGTCCTCATCRTTCCCACACTCATATAATCCTCCATAACTAACCAAACACCAAACCCTGCAGCCTGYTGATCATTTAGGCAGGCCTGGGCTCTTTATGCATCAAAATAAACAACTGCATGAATTATATTTACATAAGCTCTCTTTATTCTTCTTGTTTTCCATTTTTAGTCAAAGTAGCTCAAACTTGTCTGGCCATAAAAGTGGAAAGCATTAGTAAAATGCTGTCATTAGCGTTTCTTGTTCTACTCTGCAGGATTGGACGCGTCCGCCCCCACGACGACACAAGAGCTGGCGATCCCTAACGATGTAAGCGCCTCAGTTTGTGTTCCGACACTCAGACGTCTGTCCTCACGCAGCTAACTGGATTAAAACTTTCCAGGAGGAGAGCTGTAATGAGAAAATGTTTGGACACGCACACATTGTTAGCGGGAGAAAGTCATTTATTTCTGCACAAACTTACACATTTATTATCGGCTGGACAGAGACGTGAACAAACAGCCAGACGACTTTTAGAAAGTTTTGTAGCTCGACGCTAAAAAAAAACAACAACCTGAGGATGTTTGAGTGAGTAAAATAAAACAAAATAAAGTCATAGCATTTCTCAAAGAAATGCATGTCACCCATTTTCCCTGTTAGAGGTCTAACACTAATCACAAACAGAAAGACAGGATATTTTCTGGACAAAAAACAACACAAAACAACAGTTTCAGTTTCTTGTTTGTGGCAGTGAGGKCCGGCCCTCCTGCCCAGGTGGAGGAACGAAAACATATAACGTGATAACTAAAAATATGGCTGTGCTAATGCTAAATTGCTAAACAAGTAAAAGTTAGCAGAAAATAATACTAACAGCTAATCAGTAACTGCTAAGATGACTGTCCCTCAGTCTGTGTCACATTTTTGTTTCCTTTGAGCTGCAGACTGGGATTGACAAAGCTAATCCACTAAACAAACGATTAGTTCTGCTATTAGCTGATTAGCTAACCAACTTTAAAAACCACTAGCGAACCCATTAGCTTTTGCTAACTCTTAAACTAACATCAACAGGTCTGCATCAGTCCCACCAGGCTTCAGCTCGGGGGGACGAAGACGTGACTGAATGACATTCTCATTAGCGGTTAGCAATTAGTTGTTTTACCTGTTTAGAGTTAGCAAAGCTATCTTATTTGTTAGCAGATTATGAATTAGCAAAGCTAACTTTTTGGTTAGCTGTAGCACTATTTTTAAGATTGTATGCCACCACTGGCCCAGTTGTGGTTTGATTTATGTGGTGCTGGCCCATTCATGGACCACCTCTGGCCCACCAAAGGGCCATCACTCCGTACAGTATCTGGGCTAGATAAATGTTGTGTGGGTAATCACCAGCGTTTTATAACAAATCATTCATAAAATCTGACAAAAGTTAATAAACTGTTTATTACTGTCAGGTTGTGTGGGTCTTCTGACGCTACACAACCTTTAAAAAACAACACAACTGATTTATTGTGAGTAAAAAGTGAGAGAGAGGGAGCTGAGTTTAGAATCAGCATTCAGAGACTAAGTCAAACAAAACGCAGCGGTCCAACAACAGCAGAGTGTTTATCGGAGGGCTGATTGCTTCTCAGACCGGTCTCAGGGTTTGGACCGCCGTCTTCYTGGTGTTTTGCTGTTTCCAGGCAACCGGGCGAGAATCAGGAAAGAGTCGAGCACGTAACCTTTCCCAAAACGGTGAATTGTCAGTCAACACCACGCTCGCTGTAATCAAGCAAGATTTGACGTGTTGATTATTGAGCTTCAGACGTGTTGGTTGGTGACCGGACTCAGCTTAAAGTCCGTCACCAAGAAAATAAAAATCCAACAAATCATTAAGATTTGTTTGAGTTAAAAACAGTTTTTATTGTTAAATTATCCGTTTATTTCATGAGGATTAAACACTGGAAACATTTACTGGTTTTACAGGAAGTAGTACATATACAACCCCAGGTACAAACCTGATACTTTCTAAGTTCCTGCTGATATTTATTGGGTCCTTACAATACGTATTTACTGAGTACATCAGGCACAGAACTGTTGTACCTGGTACATATAGGTACTCACCTGGTATTTACTTGAACCAGGCACTATTATGAAGTAACTTGTTACCTGGTACTTAACATGTACATTCTTGGTACACATGAAGTACCTGATTAATATTTATTGGGTACTTACTAGACTGCCCTGGGCCACACAGACAGGCAGGGCTGATCATGAGATACTTACTGGGTATGTAACTGGCACTTATGAAGTACCTGGCTAATATTTACTGGGTACTTACAAGTTACCTAGTACATATTGAGTATATTACCAGGCATGTAACTGCTACTTATTGAGCACATATCTAGTACTTATTCGGTATTGGGTACATAATGGTATCTACATGAACCAGGTTCTRTTATGAAGTGATGTGTTACCTGGTACATAAGTTCATACAGGTACTTACAAAGTACCTGTCAAATACTTATTAGGTACTGGGTACAAACATGGTACATGAAAATACTTACCTGGTATTTATACAAACTAGGCTAACTTGATCCTTGGTAGTTACCAAGTAAATACTTGGTACTTATAAATTCCCTACCTAATACTTATTAGGTACTCACAAGATACCTGGAACCTGTAGGATACCTAAGGTAAATACTGGGTACTTACAAGGTGCCTAGTACATAGTGAGTATACACCAGACATGTTACTGCTTCTTATCAAGCACATATCTGGTTCTTATTGGGTACTAGGTACTGGGTACATAACTGGTACAAATAGGTACTTGCATGGTATCTACATGAACCAGGTTCTATAATGAAGTGATGTGTTACCTGGTACATACTGTAAGTGCATACAGGTACTTACAAAGTTCCTGCCAAATACTAGATATGGCCATGGAACTTATAGCATACTTAAGGTACATAGTGGCTACTTAAATAGTGCCTGGTACTTATTGAGTACACAACAGGTATACCTACCTGGTATCTATATGAAACAGGTTCTTGTATGAAGTAACTTGTTACCTGGTATTTACCAGGTGTGTAATCTGTACACGAGCTGTATTATGTATTTATATATTTTCAGAAAGACGAGCTCGTTGTTTAAAAGCTTTTCTCTTCTAGTTTATCGGCTGCATAATTGGACGCCAAGGCAGTAAGATCAATGAGATCCGTCAGATCTCTGGAGCTCACATCAAGATCGCCAGCGCCGCTGACGGCTCAGCCATGCGCCAAGTCACGATGACGGGCTCGCCGACCAGCATCAGCGTGGCCCAGTACCTCATCAACGCCAGGTAAGACCTCCACGTCCCGCTCAGCCCGGCGAGGACGCCTCTCTGGTTCTGGATTTGTTCCGATTCACCGCTTCTCTGTTTTCACTTCATTAAAATTCTCTTTTTTTCAACATGTTTCTTGTTTTCTCTCTTCCTTCCTTTAACCCTTTGCCGCCCGCAGCTTAGAGATGGCTAAATACACCATGCAGGTGGCGTCCTCAGCGACCCCCGTTGACCTGAACTTGAGCTTCTCTCAGAGCGCCCCCGCCGCCTCCACCGCCGTCCTGGCAGCCGGCACCCCAGCTCCCATCAACGTCCACTCTCCTTCCGCCTTACCGACCATCCAGAACCCGCATTACGCCGTCCCCATTTCCAGCCTGCTGGGCATGAAGACCCTCCCCGTCCTGGCCGTCCACCCGGCAGCCGCCTCCGGCCTGACCCCGGCGTTAGCTCCCTACGCCGGGAAGATGCCGTCATCCGGTGTCAAGAAGTCAGAGCGGCAGAAGTTTGCTCCGTACTGATGGCACTTTAGGTCCAGATGGTGGGCATAGCTAACAAGAACGTTAGCTTCACTAACCACTAATACTCTAAACCAGGGGTTCTCGAGCCATTTGGGACCGCTTATAAGGGCAAAAAAATTCCAGGGACCCCCTCATGAACCCCATGCTGTTTTAAAACATAATTTATTGTCATTTCAACCMCTAAATGCCATGGGAATTTATATTTTTATCAAGTTTGTTTTATTAGTTCATTGTTCTCCTTGCTTTAAAAAAAATAAAAAAACAAATTAACATTTTTGTGAAATTTTCTGAGGACGCCCAAGATACTTTTCGTGGACCACAGTTTGAGAACATCTGCGCTAATCAAGGAGCTATGCTGACGCTAAACCAATAAACATGTGACGTTCGTGAACGATCMGAATCTTTTGAATGGCTCTTTACAACGAACGATAGGAGCCAAATCGCAGGCAGTAACGAGACATTTGTAGTTTTATTTCTTTAATTCCTTGTATAATCTTTATTTTTTTCATTCTTAAATCGCTCCCGCTTCACTTTTTCACGGAAAACAGGCGGAGTTGTGGAGTACAGAAGCTCACGCTGAAAAGGGAGGGGGGTTTTCGCTTGACAAACACATGGTTCCACCATGTGACGGGATTACGTCATTACGTACGGCTACGTGATGACGTATTTCCCTACGTGATGATGTAATATGTTCAAAATCGAGCGGCACTTTTGAACGGCTCTAAGAMACAAACAGCTCYCCAAGATCCGRATCCCTTCAAAGAGCCATTTATCCCATCTCAAAGAAATAGAYRGAAGCTAATGCTAACTGCTAATGCTAACTGCTAACTAAGATGACTCAGTCTTCATCTTCTTCTGGCTGAAGACTAGTGGGACCGACACAAACCTGTTGTTAGTTTTCTATTGGTTTAATTTGAAGGTGGGCGAGATCAGCTTGTGATACTTTCAGAATAAAAGCATTTCTTTTATCGAGTTTATATATATTTTTTATAAATATTGTTTGAAGTTAGTCAAAAAGCAAATAGCAAATACTTTCTCTACCGTATTTTGTAGTCAATTTTCTGCAGTCATTTTTTTTCTATTTTATTTCTTTTCGATGCTTCTAGTTTGAAGTTTAGCCGCTAAAGATGCTACATGCTAACACACACAGTGCCCGACACGTCCAGCACTGCTTGCTCGAKGGGATGGTTTTCATTTAATTCAGGATGAACGGCATGGAAATAGAACGTTAACACCAAGAATTAGCAGAACCTGATTTAGCGRAAGCTAATTGATTCGCTAAMAATTTCCAATGTTAGCAAAACARCTAACTGRGAAGCTAGTTCTGCTATCAGCGGTTTGGTGGACCTGTGCTCACCACTGGAAGGCAGATGATTTAAAGGTAGCGGAAATCGTTTTTATTTTATTAATTTTTTCTTATTTTCCTGCAGCAGGAGAATGTTTCTCAGAGAACGACGTAACGATGTTAAAAACATGTTTTCAGTAATTAGCAGAAGCAGAGGTGCATTTTAATTAAAGCATTATCAGGCGAAGCTGTTCAGTCATTGTTATGGAAACTCAGGCTTCATTTCAGGGAACAAATAATGGAATCATGTTGCAGAGCTTTAACACATCAGCATGTAAATATTCATTTTATAGCAGGTTTTTAATCGTGGAGTTTTTATTAGAGAACTCAGGCTGTGTTGTTTTGTTGGCAGCAGGCTGTTAAAGGGATATWATGATCATTTTAATGTTGTGATCAGTGGAAAACTATTGAAGAGTTATTATGTAGGAAGAAAATTGTTTAAATTCATCCGTGATTAAAAATATTTGATGATATAAAAACAGAACTTCTTCACTTTTCCACAGAGCCCCACGTTAAAAATGTTAGAATATCCCTTTAGGTGTTGATTGATCCACTCTCCTGTCTCTTTTCTTTCACCGTGATCTGCAGAGGGATTAACGTAAAGCCCGGTTCTGCTTGACCCAGTAATCCTGAGGAGCCGGGCCTGTTTACCGGTTCTGTTCAGCTTCTTGTTTGTTTGTTTTTCTGACAGAAACCAGTGAGTTTCAGCGCCGACCCGTTCTCTTAAAGGATGTTTTATTCATGTGGATTTGGGTCGGACCCCCCAAACGATGCAAATCTGTAATATTTGTAAAAAATAAAAGACTCCGAGATAAAAGGATGTTTTTTTAAACTCGACTTGTTTTTGYTGTTTTCATGTCTGAATGTTTGAATGTGGACCTGCAGGCTTTGGTTCTGGTCTAATGGACTCTGAAGGATCAGGGTCCAGATCCAAGGAACAAGAGTCAGCTTTACAAAATAAAAGCATGAAAACAGAATAATGAAAACTAATCCATTCATCTGCTCATCCATCCATCCATCCATCTGTTCATCCATCCATCTGTTTATTCATCCATCCATCCATCTGTTTATTCATCCATCCATCCATCCATCCATCTGTTCATCCATCCCTCCATCTGTTCATCCATCCATCGATCCATCCATCCATCCATCTGTTCATCCATCCATCATTCATCCATCCATCCATCTATCATCCACCTTTCTTCTCATGAACAAATTCAGAAACAAATATTTGATCTTTTCTTCGATCAAACCTGAGAAACCTCAGATCTGCAGCTGTTGGAGATATTTTGCTAACAGAGACTGTGACTGGAGCACACAGAGGTCTCAGACTGAAACAAACTTTCTCTCCTGAACTTTCTGCCAGCAGAAACTAAACCCTGGTGTCGTGCTGCGGTGGAGCTCTGAGGCTCCTGCAGCAGGAAACAGTTCAGCTGCAGACRTCCAGTGAAGCGTGGCGTTAATGGGCAGCGAAGGTGCAGCCATGTTTCTAACCCCCACCCCCCCAAGTTAACGCTGACTTTGCTCCAGTTTTCTGTAAAAACACCAGAGTGGGCACTTCTGTTCCGGCTGACGTGCAGAGATCCAGGCATGTTTCCACAGCAGGGCTCAAAATGCTGAAGTGGAGATAATCAATAGTTAATGTGGGGGGGGGGGGGTGACATCTGAACCTCGGGGAGAAGGTGTAGAGGCAGGGCGTGTGCTGATGTTTGCCCCGAGCACATCTGACTTCACAGCCAACTTCTAATGGGATATTAATGATTTCCTTTTTTTTTTATTTCAAACCCAGGCAGTGAAGGAAGCTTCTGACCTGCTGTCGTCTCGCAGGTTTCAAAAAGCTGTCTGCAGACAAACAACAACAAATATCTGTATTTATTCTGCCAGGAGCAGTGTCAGGACAGTTTGTGGTAAATTGGTGGGCGAGGCCGTCACTCTGCTGCTGACAGAGGAGCGACTGCAACACGTCTGCTGGCTGCATTTACATTTAGATTTATTTACAACACAAAACATTCAGTGTGTCAGATCCTCAGCAGTGGGATTAAGTTTTAATCTGTTCAGTTTAACCTTCAAACAAACAACAGACCTAATCTGTGTTGTATAAAGTACCTCAAAGTGATACTTGAGTAAAACTACAAGTATCTTATCATAAAAATACTTTGGTAAAAGTTAAAGTCTTCTCTAAAAATATTACTTGAGTAAAAGTCTTAAAGTATCTGATATCTTTTGTACTTAAGCATCAAAAGTAAATTTCTGACACAAAATCTATTTAAGTATTAAAAGTAAAAGTACTGAGTAAAAGTGAGCAGTTAGATTTTCCAGAATGACATTTATGGGCCTTGTGGGGGGTTCTCCGGGAGTATGGKGTACCGGGCCCTTTGATACGGGCTGTCAGGTCCTTGTACGACCGGTGTCAGAGTCTGGT